CTATCTATCTATCTATCTATCTATCTATCTATCTACCTCTCTATCTATCTATCTCTCCATCTATCTATCTATCTCTCTCTCTATCTACCTCTCTATCTATCCATCTATCTATCTCATGTGAATGTTGGTGCAGTAGCAGCCGTTGACCGATGGGGGCGCTGTGGTGCGGCAGCTCCACGGGAACGCGGGCACCGATAGACGATCTTCGGCCGCGATGTGTCACTCCGATATTCCGGCTCCTGCCTGCGACGTGAGAAACTCCGCCGAGTCGCTGCTCGAGGAACCAACATGTCAGCGTCACCGCAGCAGGTAAACAAGCTGTGAATACTTCTTATCTCACCGGCATCGAACCTGTGTTCCACCCCGGACCCGTCCGGTGCAGCGGAGACCCTGTGGGGGGGGGGCAGGGGGGCAGTGTTTGTGTTGTCTGGGTCGCTGTCGTCAAGCTAATGCTAACCGGAGCCTCAGGTGACTGCTAGCTAAACTCACAGTAAAGAAAGAATGGAGCCGTGACAACACGCTGCTCGTCAGAGTCCAGTCTGATCCATCTGATCTCGAGCTGATGGTTTTACTGTCAAACGATCGGAACCGACCTGTGCGCTGAAAGTTAGCCGGTTAGCCAAAGCTAGGCTAGGCTAGGCTAGGCTAAGCGGCGTGTCTCTCTCTCTCTCTCACACACACACGTGAGAAGTCTCTGCTGAGAGTCTGACCAACACACACACACGATGTTTACTTTGTCAGACTCATCCGAGCTGTTCAGAGATCAGATCATCTCTGAGACTCTTTTAGTTTGACCTTTGGACTCTTCTCTTTATTTCACTGAGGGTCGAGTTCATCTTTATTTATATGAAGCTCTATTTTTTTTTTACATTTACACAAGATAACATTGCTTTTTGTTTGGATTGGTTGTGACCACGATGATAGTTTCAAAATGTGTTTTTAAAGACAGTTGGGTGTGTGACGTATTTATTTTATTTTGGTGTCATGTGGCTCATCCCTTCTCTGGATTACAGGACAAACTATATTACGAACACACACATGTTCTTCAGGTGTTTCATACACGACGCACACTGAAAAGACACAGAATGTTTATGATAAATATTTCAATATAGATAAATTTAGTTTAGAGACTGACATTAATTCATGGCCCAGCACAAGGATCCTCTTAAATTCCCTGTGTGTCTGTTCTTGTGTTTCCACAGAGAGGAGGAGGATGATCGGAGCGCTCGGTGGACTCTGCTCTCTGCCCTCAGGCCGGGAACCTTGATGTGATGCTCTGCGAGTCACAATTCATCCCTGAGGTCGTTGAGGAGAAACCGCTTCTGACTCGGCGTGCGTCGGCTAATGGAACCAAGGCTACTTGACACAGCCTCGGCCTTCCGTCAAACTCTTGAGTGCGACTGTCCGACCTGCTCTTCCTCAGGATAAAGAATAAAACCCGTATGTGCCTGCCCGTCAGAGCCTCACGAGAAGGCTCGTAACGCTGCATTGGAGTCCGGCTGAGCTGCCGTCACTGCGTCTGTGGTGGCAGTTATGTTTGCTGTCGGTCAGGATTTATCGAGAACTTGTAGTTTATCTACAGCAACCGACAGAAAGTTTACAACTCCCTTCAGCTGGAGCTGACACCCGAGGAGTGACTCTCACCGAAGAACCAGTCACCGAGTGAGGAGCGACCAGGGCGGCTCCTCCACCTCAAGCTCACCTGGTTTCAACTTGACTGTTACTTTCCTCCCTCACCCGGAAACTCAGCCCTTCTGAAATAACCACGCCTCTGTTGGGCGGTGCCATGCCCACCAATCAGTCCTCCCCCTGGAGTGGGGGGAAGCTACGTGCTTGCTCCGGTCCCACCACTACAACCGTTAGTACACATGCCAAGACAGTTGCGGCCACGAAGGTGCCTTTTGGTCAAACCTCTCTAGAGCTCTCCAGACAAAAAGACCAAGCCAAACCTTCTTCCTCTCATGTTGCCTCTTCTGCCCCCCCTCTGAGACAGACGACAGCCGCCCCCTCTGGGGCTTCTGTGTGGGAGAACGGGGACAGATGTAAAACCAACACCCAGAGCCAATTCACCGCTGTGCCACATGGGTCTCCAGCCCTGCCACAACTACTTAATGGGATCCAGATTCCAAGCCAGGTACTGGCAGCAGGACAGAAGCAGCCTGGCAGTAGCCTCACAGGGACCAACGCTTCCTCCTCCATCTACAAGAAAGAACGACAGGTTGGACTTAACGGTCAGCTGTCGGGTAATATACAGAAACGCACATCGCTCCAACCCTCTCCTCATGAAAACGGCGTAGCGATGAGCCGACGTCAGGCTGCATCCGGTGACGCACCGCTGGGACCTGAGCCACTTTTGTCTGTTTCTCATCAAGACCTGTTCATAAAGGGACAGGCCTCCCTGCAAACCACCAAGTCCATGGTGAGAATTGATGTTTCACAGCAGCCGCCTTTTAAAAACCGTCACTCCACTAAGTCTGATCTGTATTATTCAGGAGATACAGTTGTCATAGAGTGATCGTAAGAAATTTAAAAAGACTTCTGGTGTATCAGTATCTTAACACTTGTTATATCATCTGACGTGTCCTGGTTTTGTCTCCCCAGCTTGAGGCTGCAGACTGTTCCTCTTCACCGTCAGTGCCTCCTCTCTGCCTTGCTCTTTGTGAACATCAGGAGGCAACATTGGGAAACGATGCCTCCAGCCCTGATAAAGCAACATTAGAAATAAGAAGCACAACAAGAGAAATGACGACAGGAAAGTGCCATTCTGCAAAATCCAGTCCGACGCGAAACAGTTGCACAACGATAACTGGCTCAAACGATCCATTGCTTGTAAGCGGTGGTCCTCCTGCAGGTTCGGCAGCAGCAACAAACATTAAGCCCCAAACTTCTGCATCACTAGACGTCACTCAACAGCCCCCAGAGAGTCCATGTTCACCAGGAAGCTCCCTGACCTCATGCGGAGGACTCGGCCCTCCAGAGGTCGGACCCTCTCCAGACGGCCCCATGCCAACTGTGCTCAGTGCCAGCGTCAGTGCCACGCAGGAGCAGCCGCCCACGCTGCCGCACGTCACCCCAGGTAATCAGAACGATTGTGTTTTTAAAACTTTAAACTCTGAACGTTTCTTTTTTTTCCCCTAAAATACCATGAATTATTGTCAGAATATCAGAAATAACAGACACGAAGAGAAAATCCTCAATTGTTATTTTTATTTAATTCAATTGATTCAAGCTCGACACCAGAAGTGATGAAACTGTGAGAATGTTGCTGCTCCTTCTCTCAAAGCTGTGGCCTCCTCTCCTGCAGGAACCATGGTGGGTTCTGTGACCACGAAGATCTCAGCGATCCATCTAACCAAGCAGGGACAGCCCGTCTCCGTGTCGTCTTCCTCTCCATCCCCGTCCACCTCCTCGCCCTCGCCAACAGAGGAGTGTGCAGCAGGAGAGACTCGTCAGTCAGGGTGAGAAACCGCTGATTCCTTCTCGATCGATCGGTTCGTTTATCTATCGACCCTTCACATTCTGACGATTTCACCGTCTGTTCGTTGCTCCCAGAGCCGAGTGTGTCATGCAGGTGGATGGAGCTGAGGAGGAGCTGCCCGATGAGCTGGAGAACATCTGTAGTGACGACGGTAAGAAAAACACTCGGACTCAAAGTACAAACTCTTCATTGTACCACAAATATTCAGTAATCAATTCAGTTTATAAAGTGAACAATGGAGTTTTTATATCCTGTCATCAGATGATTCAGACTGTTCGTCCATTAATGGAGCTTCTTCTACGGCATCCATCGGCCTCCTTTCTGGGTGAGACCCACTGTAACCACACACACACACACACACACACACACACACACACACACACACCTGCAAAACATTTATCATCATTTATTTCTGTTTACGTTTAAGAAAACTACACGACAAATATCCTGCTTTCAATATGAGTGTCTGAGGTTCAGGCCTTCCTGTGGTTTCTTCATGTCCATAAAAAAAAATTAAAAAAAACACACAGCTCATTTCTTCCGTCACTAACTCACACACCTCAAAATGTCTTTCCCTCGCTCCGCCCAACATCGAAGCCAGCTTTCCAATCGGTCTCCGAAAAAAATATCCGTCCGTCAGAGAATCTTTGTGTCTCTCTGCCTTTCTCTCTCGGCGCTTTGTTAAAAATGTCCTGAAAGCAGCAGAGCGTGGTGGAAAGGTCCGCAGCTTTGTGTGTCACATTGTTCTCCACTGTGATGGCCTCAACAGTAGAACTCCCCACCAAAGACTCGGAGCCGGTTCTCTGCTAAAACAGCCTGGATAGGGAGCGCTATTCACCCGCGTTCTTTTTGTTGTTGTTTGTTTTTTTAACCCCAACCCGCTGATTTGTTTATGTGTTCATTTGCATACCCCCCCCCCCCCAACCTGTACTGTAAGCCACAGCTGCTGTATAGTTATAGTATAGAGATAAGTTGGCCTGCTCTGGCTGTGATGCCTTTATGCGCCTGTCAGTGGTGGAAGGATTTTACTAACGAGATCTGGAAGACGAGATCCTCATCCCCCGTCGTCTCTTATTTCCTTCCTTCCTTCCTTTATGACTGTCATGTGAGTTGTTTTAGCGTCACTGTGATTTCAATAATGTGTTAAATGTATAAGCAGATAATAGTAAATGTTGTTTGAGGAATGATCTGATTATGCTTTACATTCATTGTGTGTTTTATATATGTTTAAATGAACGTGTGTATTCTCTCAAGTATCGAGGAGCCAATGTCATCGGAGGCCGAGGATGTTCGAGAAGAGCGACCAGCGCTGGTTCCCAGTTTGTTCCCGCTCATCCCTTCGACACTTTACTTCAGCACCGCCAGTGAGAAAGGTCGGTACACCGTCGTCTTCTGGAGGCAAAGTTAAAATAAGCTCAGAGAGTAATTTAAGCACCTGTCAAGGTTCCAATAAAAACTATTTAAGCTACATATTTGTCTTCAGAAGTGATTCTGACATTTTGAGTCACTTGCTTCTATTGGCTTTAGATAATGAGTTTGAGAAGACGCTCACAGAGAATCTCTTTGTGATCGTCACAACTTCCAGAATTTAACAAAATTCTTAAAATGTCATCAAACTGATCTGGACTCTT